ATCCTACATTCAGAAATAGTGAATATTGAAAACGAAAGTTAAGATTTCAAATTGTTAACTCACATTTAATAATGTATCTAGTATTTACACAGTACAATCTAAAGTTGAAATATGAGATTTCATATTGTTAGATACATATCATTATTTACACACATACATCCTTAAGAAACCACTTACATACACATTTATTGCAAACTATTTACATCAAACTTGTGTTTTCAAAATGAGATATTGTGTCCCTTATACAGGGATGGGTATTGGTAAAAAACTATAAAAATAATTTTTTTCTTTTTGAATTTTTAATTTCTGACAAACCATAGATAACTTAAAACAAATAGTTAACTAACTAAGTGTTTTCAAACGATCACTTCGTTTTTAATTTGTAAAAACTATCTCTAAATCTTTTTTTCATTTCCAAAACGATCGTATTTCAAACGATTGTTTTGTTTGCAGTTATTTTTCCTCTTAAAAAACGATAAAAGTGGATTTTCAAAAGAGTAATATTTTCTCATCCCTGCCCGCATGTGTATTATATCTATCAAACATGATATCGATTTCAAATAAATATCACTCTAACCTTTTAGTCTTTTTCTATATAAATAGTAGATATGTTATGCAACGAACCATTTTTCACTTTTCAGTTCAGTTCTACATATTACAAAGTGACAAAAAAGGTGAAAGTTTACTGACTACGTTAAACTTTTTCCAAACTTTGTAGTTCATTTGAAAAAAGTCCACAACACCAAAAATAATTTTTAAAAAAACTTCAAATCATCGACTTTTTAAATGAATAAAAGTCAAGAAGTTAAAAAATAAAGCAAAAAGGATAAGAACTAGGGGGTGGGGGGTTACCAATTAATCTGTTTTCAGCTGTACATGCGGTGGCGCAACTAGCACTTTTGTGAGGGGGGGTGGAGAAATTAGATTTTGAGTTGTTGGGTGGTGTGTGTTGGGGGGGGGGGGTTACAAGGGGGGTTAGCCCCCCCGGTCGAAAATTTGTTCAGAAAAAAAGCGCTGTTTTCAGGATTTTAAATAAAAAAACATTTTTTCATTGTTGAAGGGTTGGCTCTGTGCTCAATAAGATACCAAATTCTTATTATATCGATGGCATGTGTCTTTAAAAAAAATATACTTCCAACAGCTTTAAAATGAACGACATGAGTAAATTAATTAGACATGTACGCGAAGTGCCAAAACATGTCTGTTCTTCTAGTGTCTTTTCATGTATTTTTTAGTTTCCGTTAGTCCTTGGCTTAGTTATATTCACTATGTATATAAAGTCCCCTATTACAGTCAACGGCAGTTTTTTTTGTAATTCATCCGCTAGTTATATCCACTATATAGTCCTTTAACCCTGAACAGGCTGGGGGGGGGAGTTTGACCCCCCCTCTAGTCTTTTTGCCCTGCCACTCACATTTTTGACACTATCACCGTGAAATCTTTTTAACTTAAAATGAAAAGATTTTTAAAGGTTTTTTCTAATTTTTTTTATTGCATAGGGTAGGGTACAGGGCGGTAAAAAGTCCGGTCTGTGTTGAAAAAAAAATCTACAATTGCCCTAACTTTTTTTCTGGCTAAAGCTACAGATCTAAAAACTATATTTTTGAAAAGCCCTTAACAATGTATGTAGAAACAACTTTGATATTTGTTTAAAACAAAAAAAAATATTTTGACATTTTTTTACCTTTTTTTGGCATTTTTTCAGCCCTCCCTAGCACCCAAACTATAAAAGTTATCGGTCTAATTTTTTTTAAAGAGCTGACCTTGAAAACTTCGGCTATGATCATGCATTTCAATCCATATACCTAATCTCTAAGACCTTTTTTTAGGGGGTGGGGCGTGGGACGCCCCCCAAGCTATACATAGCTACAGACTCCCCAGCCTTTATAGGGTTAATGGCTGGTCTGAACAGTCCTTGGTAGTAAGTAGTTTCTGGCAGTATTTGACTATATTTTGTCGGTCCATAATCCACAATAGTCTTTCTGATCGAAGTACCTCTGTCCTTGTTTGCCAGTAAGGGACTTATCCCTGTTTTCCTCTTATAGTCTGCAAAAGTTCTAATAGTCAGATATAATCCTTATCATATTTCCTGTTATTTAGGTTGTCAGGTTTTGTGTAACCTTAAATGATAAATGTATTGTAATGATAAGTAATAATTTATACGGTATCTATACATTTTTTTTGAAAGAAAAAAATGAGAATGCCTGACTTTCTTGAAGTAAAAAACAAGAAAATAATTAGTAATTCTATTTTAAATTCGATGGGCGATTCGCCAAAGATATTTTGTTTTTCTTAATTGGCAAAATTTGATTAAAGATGGTCTACAATCATGATCATGGAGTCCAGTGAGGGAAAAAATACGCTAAGGGGGGGGGGAGGCGAAACTCGGTTCGCCCCCCCCCCCTAGCTGCACCACTGTGTTTATGAGCAGATGTGTAAAAAAACAAAGTTCTTAAGAGTAATTGTCACAAGTATATAATAACCATATGGTTTAACTTAACAACCGAACTGATTCAATTAAATGGTAAATGAAAATTCTACTCTACCAGACGAAATTAGTTTTAGTAGGAAACCAAATTAACGTCTTGCTTATAAGTTTATAGAAAAAAATCAAAGGCATCTTGAACACTAATTGAAATAGAAATGAAACTCCAACTTGTTTGCTAATTTTTTTATTGTCCTTATTTGGTATTTGTTTACATAGTTTTTTGGTATCCAATAAAAACATCTTAATGGCTGAAAAGATTGAGCACCCATTTTCATATGACCCCATGCAGAAGGTTCATGACCTAAATTAAAAGATTGCAATCTTTTATAATTGTTTGAAATCCTGACATGCAAATTTCCCTGGATTTATCACAGATAAAAACTTTTAAACCTAAAAAAAAGGCATTATCTTCCACAGTATTGATCAGATAAAGGTTTCAAGGGTACCGTTGTGAATCCGACACTGACATATTTTTTCACGGAGGATCCCTTTAAGTTGGAGTCCTTAAACAAACAGAGTCATAACTTTACAAATAATTCTACCCTCTTGACTTAATTTATATACAAAATCTCTACAAGATAACGATTTGGTTCTAACATTTTTGAGACAATTTGTGACGAACTGAATTTTGGGAAATCATTATATTTTTGTTTAGATCATGACAAAGAAATTGATTACTCGTCACAACCTCAAATTTTCTAATCCAAATAATGGATTTGCAGCCTGGGATATTTCAAACTATTTTCTGCTAAATCAAATAGTTAATTTTTGAAATATGAAAGGTTTATGCCAACAGATTAAAATATTAAAGGACTATAAAATTAGAGTTTGGTAAGGATAATCGTTTCCTTAAAGGGACTGTTATAGTAATTTGAAGTGACTCCCCATTAAAAGATGGCAATGCCCGATTTACAATGGTACCCTAAAAAGCTTTATCTGAGCAAGTATGAATGGGAAAATTATCAGAAATAAACACTTTACGAGTCAGGAAAACAACGGTATCTTCCTTAATTTTGATCAGATTAAGGTTACAAGGGTATCGTTGTAAATCGGGCCTTGCCATGTTTTCATTTAGAGTCACTTGAAATTACGCTTGCAGTCCCTTTAATTTTCCTAAAATACCTTTTTTTCAATATGTCCTTAGATTTTTTTTAACATTTCGAGTATCTCTATCTATCTCATAATGTATTTACTCTAAGAAAGGCACCTACATCTTGATTTCTTTAATCTAAACCCAGCCTACTCTAATCCCATTCTAGACTTATTGTTGATAACTCATATTCATAACTTGATAACGCTCACATGAAACATTCATGATCACTCTCACGACATTTTGTTTTATTAGGTAATTTTAGAACTTATAAACTTAACTTAAGTTAATATATCTTAAAATGGTTCTTGATAAATAAAAAACATGAAAAAAATATTAAATCTAAGAATTCCAAAAAACGACTGATTTCGAAGGCCTTAGAATTTCGACAGAGGAATGGCTGTTTATTCGTGGGTATAGGTCGAACATATACGATGGGTTGGGGGGGGNGTTGGTAATGTTAAGAGGAAGTAAGGTTGGAAAATGGGCGTGAAATTGTGAAATTGTGAAATTGGCATTTAAGAAATTTTTAAAAGGTGGAAGGGTGGTAGTTTTAGCACAGGGTGTCAAAACAATTATTTCTCAAGCCTATATTTTTTTTACTGAGACATCATGTTCAGATCATAGAGAGGGAAGTGGTTAACTTAGAATATAAATAAAACGTGTAAAGTACAGTGATAACCAAAAAAATAATGGAATAGGAAGACGACATTGTGGCAATATTTGATTGTGTATTTTATGCCGTTACAAACTCATTACATTTACTACACACTAATTAAATCACCAATTTACTGAAATGGGTTTTTTTACACTTCACAATTGTTGTGTCTCATGTGATAATAAGACTTTTTAAGATTATAATTTGGTTCTAGAAGTCGACTTTCTAATTCAGAATTGTTCTGGATCTCACTGTAGGAACTTTATGAATTCTCATAATCTTCAACTAGATAATAGACAACAACGAATATTTAAATACAGATATGTCCATGGAGTATATTTAGATTTTAAAGGGGGAGTGCGAAACAAATGTTTCCTGGGTATTTTTATATTTTAAAGGGGGAGTGCGAAACAAATGTTTTCTGGGTATTTTAAGATTTTAAAGGGGGAGTTCGAAATAAATATTTCCTGGGTATTTTTATACTTTAAAGGGGGAGTGCGAAATATTTATCAGTCAACGTATTTTACAATAAAAAATAAAAAAATAAAAAATATTTTTAAAGATATCTTTTTCCTCCTTTTTCTGCAGATATTTTTCGATTGTGCATGATTCTAGATAATAATTAAGATCTTCAAGATATTTGTCAACTCCTAAAACTAATAGATAATGAATTTGATAAGATAACTGAATTTTCTTTATTTGAAAATTTGATAAAAATTTGTTGAAATGTCGAGTAATGACAAATCCTGGATATTTTCAGATAAAATGAGTTCAAGACAGAACATGTTGCTCAGCATCCTTTCTTATCAATTCAGCACACAATTTTTATAAAAAGTGAAGAATTTTAAAAATCGTGTTCCAAATTGAATGTGAAGGAAAAATAGTTTGAGAAAAATAAACATCCCGGAACCCACCTGTAAAGCATGGAAAGTGCAAATCATGCGCATTGTTAGATGTGAGAACTTATTGTTAATAGTATCCGTTATAATCTCATCCTTATCCATCTTCATCCCTCTACAATCTGATATATCTCTATCCAGTCTATCTGATAGAGATACACTTCAATATTGATAAACGATCTTTTCTAAAACTTAAATTGTAACGCTTAAAAAAAATCTTCCCTTGCTTAATTGGCAAAAAGCAATAAATTGCGCAATTAGCAAGACAATGTGGAAAATTTCTTAAACATAAAGGAGAAAAATGCGCCAACTTTCCAAAAAAGATGGCGCCAAATTTCTTGATATAAGTGATCAACGTGATCAAAGATGGCGTTGGTGAGCAGCTGTATCTGCTGTTCTCTTCTGACAGCAGCCATCATGTCCGGTATCATCTCCACGTTTATGTACGCTTTAATATTCTGTTTAGAAGTTTGGTGGATTATTGATGCTAAAGGTACAATTTTATAATCATAATTATCTCACGCAATTAAACGCAATGAAATAAAAACAAAAAAAGTGGCTTCTAAATTTGCATCAAATTCGTTATACAGTTGATAATATGGGAAAAGATTGAAAGATAATAATTAATATAATTTTAACAATTGTTTAGTCTCGCTGTCAGTTCCTGCGTATATCCTGGCTTGTGGATATTTTATCATGTTTGTTGTATCCATAACAATGCTGCTTGGTCTCAGGTATATCCAAATATTTCCTAGCCACCCCCCCTCTTCCTCTCCGGCCCTGTCCCCATGCAGTTTCATTTGTTTTTATAATGTGCTCTTATGCTCTTAATGAAAATCGAACATATATGTACAGAGAGAATCATAAAACTCTGGAATAGGAAGACGACTTTCAGGCTCAAGTTATATCTTTAATAGTCCAATGAACATGAACCACAGCAACTGTGCAGTGTGTATTTCCCCAACAGAGGGACGTTAAGTTTTGAATGAACTGTGTAGGATAGATAGGTTGGATCGGCTCAGGTAAAATAATTTGAAGTCCCTTGGAACAGTTAAATAAAATAACCACCCGCTTGATTGTAAACAAATTCGCGCATTTTCATCTTGAAAGACAGCAAAAACTACTTGTTAGGGAAATTTAAAATGTTACTTAACCACGGGAACCCTTGGTAAAGTTCCCTTAACTTCCCTGTAAAATAGTTGTAAAACATTATAACTTCTCTAGATGTTGATTTGAAATCTGATTAAAACTAAGATTATGTTTTGATGTAGATTTAAAATAATGTTTTGAGTTAGTATCATATTTACTCTTTCAACCATACTTCCTTTTCTTTCATACTTTCAACCTCATGAAATTAAAAAGGAATTTCTCTTCACTTAACCTTATCTATCATAGGACAAGGAGGACAAGGTTGCTTCTATGCTGGCTCCTGGTCCAAGTTCTCTATGTGTTCCCGGAGGCTGGTCTTGTACTCTTCATGTCTATATACCATTGGGTTGGTTTCATACTTTCATATTTATTTATTCATCCTTCCTTCCTGTAGGTTACATAGTTTCATATTCATTTATTCATCCTTCCTTCCTGTAGGTTACATAGTTTCATATTCATTTATTCATCCATCCTTATCTTTCCTGTAGGTTACATAGTTTCATATTCATTTATTCATTTATTCATTCATTCATACACCTATACATGGATTAATATTCTATGTTTCATCCTTTTATGCAATTTTATACTTATTTCATGCATATTCATTTAGTTATTCATCATTTAATTCATTCATTCATGGTTATATTATATCATTGGGCATGTATTGTATTCAATTATTTATCCTCTTTATAAATCATTGTGGTAGGTTTCATATTGATCTATTTTCTGAAAATATGATTGAATCAATTTTTCACTTCATTCATAGTTGAAAAAAAAAATATTTTAGTTGTTTGTATATTAAAAGGTTTGGTTTTAATTTATTTTATCAACGTTTTAGTTTTATTTAAAAGTTGTTGAAATTTATATTAATCGAGAATAGTTTATTTGTTTTAAACATATTTAAAATGAGCTTTTTCTAAAATGTTTTTTTTAAAATCTTATTTTCAGAATGGCGAGACGTTTGGTATAGTAGAACTAGCGCTATGGGCTACTAGAGTAATTTTTAACGTAAGTATAATTCTATAATTAGTTAAAACGAGCTGAATTACCCTAAAATACCTTTTTTCAATATGTCCCTAGATTTTTTTTAACATTTCGAGTATCTCTATCTATCTCATAATGTATTTACTCTAAGAAAGGCACCTACATCTTGATTTCTTTAATCTAAACCCAGCCTACTCTAATCCCATTCTAGACTTTATATTGTTGATAACTCATATTCATAACTTGATAACGCTCACATGAAACATTCATGATCACTCTCACGACATTTNAACAGACCAGATGGTATAAAATACTACAATATCTATGGTTAGAAACATATAAGAAATAAAGGGGTTTGCTGTAAATAGTACATCTGTATATAAAATCTATTCAAATCTATTCTAGCGTTTTATATCATTTCGAAATCTCATGTAAAGTTTGAACTTGTAAAAAAAAGCGAATTCGAGCGTTAAATAACATTTTCAAGTTTGAAATCTCAAAATTTTTATCATTTTTTCATTTCGTTCGTTCATCGTTCGTTCATCGTTCGTTCATCTTTCTTGAATCGTTAAAAATTATTGATCATTAGTTTTAAATATTATCGTTCATTTTCCATCTATTTCGTTCGTTTTATCACTAAACAATTGTTCAGTAAGTTTGTTCGTACAGTAAAATCTTTCTTCAAATAAAATAGTTCGTTCAGTATTTAAAATAGTCGTTCGTCCATGGTTCGTTTTTTTCTGAACGACACCATCGTTGACGAAATATTTTGTTCGTTCACAAAATCAATGCACATCTCTAGACCATTTTCGTCTAAAGTAACCCCCCCCCCCTTCCCCCAACGGTTTGTATGGACTTGATTGAAGCTATGAAATTATATATAACACAAGCGTCAAATAAATTAGAAGAGAGGGGGGGGGGCAGTCATGGGAGAATTAAGATGTAATGGATATGCACTTTCTATCTTCTTATATAATCAATACTCATTTAATATTTTTCATGTTCACTCAGCAGAAATTTACAAAATACAATTGTCAAAAATCAAATATGCCAAAATGAAAAAATGAAAAACTCTAAGAAATAGCTAATTTAAAGTTAATATTTTTAAAAATATTTGTTGCGTTTTTAGCTTCTATGTTTTATAAACCTCAGCATTAACATTTTTAAAAACTAGCTGGCCTTTACAGATTTAGATAATTTATCTTGAAATTTAAATTATTATCTAATAGTTTAAAGGGACTGTATGCGTAGTTTCAAGGCTACCTCCTCGAAAAGATATCAAAGTCCGAATCACAAGGGCACCCTTCAAACCTTTTCAATAATTTGAAAGAGATTGTCGTTTTCTTTCTAGATTTCATAGTATCTTATTCTGATAATTCATTCATTCTTGTTTTCCTGAGTAGAAATGCGCAAGTAATTTTTATGCAGTTCAACCCTAAATAAGCCGTACATCGAAAGAATTTATCATATGTCGTATTCTTTACTTTGTGATAATGGAATGTTGCAGAAATTTAGTTTTTTTTAATTAATAATTATGTGGAACTCATTAAAACTGTTCCCGAATATTCATGGCTATTTATTTATTTTCGCAAATACTGAAATTTACGTAATATAGTATAAAACCCATTGAAAAATTGTAAAGCCGACATTTGATAAATTCTTTCGATGTATGGCTCATTTAAGGTTTAACTGTAGAGAAGCCATATATTTAAAAAAATTTCTAGGTGTTTGGTATAGTCAGTGTACAGTCTCTGTGGAGCTACTGGAAAGATGAAAAATCAGTGTTTAGATCTCTTCAAGAATTGGGAAATGTAAGTTTTTTATTTTTGAAAAACAATTAAAAACATTTTTTTGTGAAAAAAATATGAAGTAAAAACTCAAAGTTTAGACTCACAGAAAAAATAATAGAAAATGTGATGATTTTGTTTTATTTTGTTTGATTTCGTCACAAAAAATTAGTTTTAAACTAAATAATTCCCAGGTTATTTTCCTTGGCTATAAGATAATTAAAATAGCATAAACTTGGTGTCTATCATAGGGAACATCTATATAATCAAACAAGGCATTCGTATATATATATATGTTGCGTATAGCCGGCCAAACGGCTGGACCAATTGGGTTGAAACTTTTTGTGAACATTTATGGGTGGCCAGGGGGGTGTTATAGGCTAAAGAAATCGAATTTTTTTTCAAAAATTTTTAAAATGTTTAAAAAAATTTTCTTTCCACGGGCAACGCTGGGCCCATATAAATTTCAAAAATTAGTTTTTCCTTGATATTCATTTGCTGAATTGACCCTTTATATTTCTTAAATTTTTGTGGAGCCAAAAAGTAAAAAACAAAAGTACCTCCCCTCTAACGTTTTTGGAAAACTTTTCAAAATAAAACAAGCCCTTCACTTCAAGATAAAGCTGGGCTTTGATACCTAGTGTCTGAGTCCTCAGACATACTGCCTGAATGCCTTATTTTACGTATCTATGTTTATACCATATTCAAGTCATTGGATTCATTTTAAAGCTCTCTAAAAGCCATTAAAAAAGAAAGCAGATTACGCCGAATGAAATTTTGCATAAATTTTTGCATTAATTTGGCTAAAATTTTAGAGGTTTATTATTCTTAATTTTGCACAAGCTCGTGTTTCACTGGCCATTGGTTTTTGGTTGAGGGAAAGGATGAAAGGATGAATAAATGATAAAAGAAGGATGAATAAATGATAAAAGAAAGGATGATAAAAGGCTGAAAGGATGAAAGGAGGAATAAATGATAAAAGAAAGGATGATAAAAGGATGAAAGGATGAAAGGATGAATGCATAAATAAATGATAAAAGGCAGGATGAATGGATAGGTGGATTGGTGGAAGGATGAATGAAAGGATGAATATTTAGACGAATGGCGGAGTGGTTGGGGGAGGTGTTGGAGAAAATGGTTTAGGAATCCCTGGCCAGCTGAAACTACGCGGAAGTTTAAGGTATTTTTTTTTTTTATTTGCAATTTTTAACAAAGCTGGACTATCTTGCTCTTCCCACCCTTTGTTTACAACTAATTTTACTTTTAAATTTTGACTTTGATAATATTTTTTTAAAACAATAACATTAATATCTGATCCACCAGATTTTCTTGATTTAAAATGAATGCTCAAGAATGATGATATTTTCCAATCCTTATCAGCAATGGGTCATGTAAATACCACAAAAAAAAATTTGATTCCCATGCACCCCCCCCCCCCTCCCACCAAGCTCTGGATTTGTTACTTTTGTAGTTGAAATATTCCATGAATGCTTTGATTTGATTAAACAACTGTGAAATTCTAGTATACTAATTAGTTACGCCATTGTAAACCTAGCGCTTTCAACTTTTCTGCTTTTAGATTTAAAATTTATCAAGAAAATTTCCTAGTTTTTATCAAAGGAAGTTTTACTAGTTTTTATCAAGAAAGTTTCACTAGTTTTATTTAAGGAAGTTTCATTAGTTTTTATCAAGGAAGTTTCACTAGTTTTTATCCAGGAAGTTTTACTAGTTTTTATCAAGGAAGTTTTGCTAGTTTTTATCAAGGAAGTTTCACTAGTTTTTATCCAGGAAGTTTCATTAGTTTTTATCCTTGAAGTTTCACTAGTTTTTATCCAGGAAGTTTCACTAGTTTTTATCCAGGAAGTTTCAATAGTTTTATCCAGGAAGTTTCACTAGTTTTTATCCAGGAAGATTCATTAATTTTTATCCAGGAAGTTTCACTAGTTTTTATCAAGGAAGTTTCACAGTTTTACTAATGTCGTCTTCGTTTTCCCTTTTTTTACTAAGGCCCACTGTATTTTTTAAATTTGTCGTCTTCGTTTCCACGTTTTTTGCGGACTGCTTTTTTATCTTTTTGAAATGTCGTCTGTATTTTTATTTACAAATATCGTCTTCGTGTTCCACTTTTTTCTGCGGACCACTGTATTTCAGAGAGACCCCACCCCCACCCTGGAAGTAGAATCTGACTGTAGTTGGGGTAGTTGGGTTTAACTACCCTCACTACCCCAACTACCGTGTGTTTTTAGAGTGACCCCACCCCCACCCTTGAAGTTTTTCTACTTTATCCTCCTTAAGACTCCAGTTATAGGAATTGATACGTCAATCAATTTTTAAGCCAAACTAATCAATAAGACATCCTGTTCATTCAATCTATTTAAACATATCAATCAAAGCAAACCCGGCGGAAGAATTTTAAATTATTGATCTATAGTGAGATCATTGTTTGGATTTCATGATTCGCTGGCTAACGACAGTTTTTGGTAATAAAAGCGCAACTATTGGTTTCGTGAAAGGAATGGTGGAGGCTAAAATTTTATGATTTATTTAGGGAATTATTTTTCACATTCTTTGAGTTTTTAGGAGAGACGGGGGAGGGGAGGTTAAAAACGGGAGTAAAAGGGGGGGGAGATACAAATTATAGAATTAAACAAGACTATAGTTTATATGCTTTTTAAATTTTTTGGCCCAATATATCCATAGACAGTTAACAAAAATTATAGACCACATTTTTAAAATCTCAAGAGTTTTTGGTTGTCTGGTCTATTTTGGGTTTATGTATGCATGCAAACATACGTAAAATATAATCTTTTTTACCATCTCCATTCTCCATTCTCCATTCTCTATTCTCTTTCCTCTGTTCTCTATTCTCTATTCTCTATTCTCTATTCTCTATTCTCTATTCTCTATTCTCTATTCTCTATTATCTATTTTCTATTCTCTATTCTCTATTCTCTATTATAGAACTAAAATAAAATATAAAGAATTGGCCTTGCATAGATTTAAATCTAAGATGGGCGTAATTTTTTTCCTTATTGGGCGTTTCCTCTTCCTCCCTATTCCATCTTCTTTGTTCAATGTTTTATGCATTTTAAAACGGTTGTTTGTTTGAAAATTCACAATAGACCCATCATCATATTATGATACAGTCGCCCTCGTATATATCAATACAATGAAGAAGACATTTGATTTCGATTTTTAATTTCCATCAAGCTTTCAAACAGCAGTGATACACATAAACCTGGCAACGAGAAAGCTGTCAACTAACAGCTTCTCCTTGTTTAGCTTGGTAGAAATCAAAACTTAAATAGAAAAGTCGTCATCATTGTATTGATACGAACACCGACCACTAGATGCTATATCATCAGACCTAGGATCACAACTTACACAGTCTTGTAATAAATATCGGGTCACATGATATTCTGTAAACTTGCAGTACACTGTACATTATTAATTATTTATGTTGTAAATTTCTACGTTGAACTGCGTTTCAAATGAATACGTAGCATGGTTAACTTAAACCCTTTTTATTACTACATTCAACCTAGCTTAATCATGTGATATGTATGAAGAATATCTTAAATTGCGAGTATTTCTGATTGTGCTGTAATACATGATTTGACTTAAATCATGTGATATAGATAATGACGTCAGAATTGCAATTACGCTTATTGATTTTACTTGTAACCTATAAACCTTAAATACAAATTAGGTAGAATCAGAACTCCGCTTTGATTACAGTGTAGAGTAAATGTACCTTGTTGAAAAAAGTCGGGTTGAGATCATACCTCAATAAAGGTAGAGATCGATTAAGGGATGGACGAATAGAAAGAAAAACAGGGATTAAGTTCCTTTCCTTCTACTGGCTGATTTAATGACTTTGCAACGAAAGACACAAGTTTATAGTTCTAAAGAATCATGAACGTTAGAAAACAGTTTAAAGTCAGTAAGGTCGTCTTTGAAGTCTCATTCTTTGTGGGTATCCCTGTATTTATTTAGATATCAGTCGGGAGGTTACAGTTCGTCCTACCCGCCTGACCAGCTGGGGTTCGTCAATAGATACGCAAATCAGCTCGGGTACGCGAACCCCGCATTTTCTGGAAGTTCGGCTCATATCCGCGGTGGACTCGCGGTCACAAAATACGGAGCTCAAGATTCTACACAATTATCAATGAAGTTTCACTAGTTTTTATCAAGATTCTACACAATTAGCGAGGTTTTTTTTAGTTTTATATTATGTGTCCCAATTACAGTTAATTTGTCCAATTATAATCAATGTTTCCCACTTATAATTAATGTGTCCAGCTCCCAATTCCCAATGTGTCCCAAGTCCTTATATGTGTTACTTAATTATAATTGTTGTGTATATATGTGAATCAAAGTTTTAAACAGATCATATTCAGCAAATCAAGGAACAAATCTGAAAATTAGGATAACCTAGAGGTGCCTAAAAATTTTAGGTACGCTTCTAACATGAAATATGATTCTTATTTATTCTTATTAGATTTAATTGATAGTATAAATGTTACGTCTGTATCACGTAACCAGAATTTCCACCAATGACACTGCAGTCTCTGGTAACGTTGCTTCATCTGTATCACATGACCAGAATGTCCAAAAAGATTCTAGTACAATAGAATTTGTACACTCTCAGTACAGCTGTATTCTGACGTCACAATTGTCAACTCAGTTCTTGTGTCCAACAAAATTATAAATAATTGTGATACTTTTAGATATAAGTGCTTATCTTACAGTTAAATAATATTAATTTTATGTGTTCTTTCTTTTCTGTTTTTACACTTATTTATTTAATTTTGGAAAACCTTTCAACTAATGTGAGAAAATATTGTTTTCCTTGTTATGTTGACACTTGTGACGTCGTGTATAATTTGTTCATATATCTGTTGCCACCTATTGTACTTGATAATCTATTTGAGAATGTCCATTTAGCATCTGGTAAAATAGCTCCGTCGGCCATTATTTTACGTACACATGAGTTTTATTTAACTTTGACACAATTGTATATCAATTTCTCGAGACAGGGAAGTCAAATCGAACAAATATTAGTCGCGATCAATCAACTCCTAAAATTTGCAGACTTCAACCTAAAACCCCTTTCATTTTACATTAATACAGTGATAACCAGAAAACTCTGGAATAGAAAGACGACTTTTAGACTGAAAGAATGACTTTAAATAGTCAAATAAACAAAATCACAATAATTGTTAAGTGTAAACAGACCCATTTCACTCAATAAGTGTCTAGTAAATCTGTTTGCTATGTAACAACATCAAATGCACTTAAATTTTTCTATAATGTCGTCTTCCTTTTCCACGGTTTTCTGGTTTTCACTGTAGTCCTTTTACTAAATATTTGTGTAGGGATATGGAAGAGATAACTATGGTCCAGAACTAGGCTTTAACCGATCTCACTCCCAGTTCGATTTACCTAGTTTCGGATTAGATCCTGATTCTCCAATATTTCTTCAACCAGGATACGGCCCAGGTAAAACTATCAACCCCCCCCTCACTTTTTTGGTTTCTCCCACCCACTTGTATATGTTTCCCTAAATATATGCTTTTCATGAACTCATGTATTCGTGTTCCCCCAACCCTCTGCTATAATTCCTTTATTCCCGTCTAATTCCGGCGATGCAGTTTACATTTAATTAATCTTCATGAATAAAGGGAGTGTTCGCGAAAATAGAAAGGCTGTCTTAAACACCCCTTTATAATCTTAATAAATTCACAATTTTTTTAGGTGGACTTCCGCTGAATATTTACAGGGGGAATTCGAGACGAGATCAACTTCTTAGGTTCGTATTTTTTCTTCATCCACCCTTTAAAGGGTCTGTACGCCAACTTTTAATTCCCCGTGTAAAGATTGCAATTGCCCGATTTAACTTGAAACCTGAACCTGTAAAAAATGTTTAAGATCTTGCCATTTTTCTGACTCTTAACGTGTTTTTTAATTTGATAATTTCTCCGTTGCTTTTTTGAAAGAAATGCGCAAGTCACTTTGCAGAAAAAACCGTAAATAAAATTAAACAATTTAAAGAAACCAAGATATGTGTAATTCATACTTGATCAGCTAAAGCTTTCAAGAGTACCGTTGTAAATCGGGCATTGCCATCTTAGCATGGAAGGTCATGTTTTTGTCCAGGGACTAAAAAATCTAAATTTTAGATATTTATCATTTATATGAATTTAATGAAAAGAATTTGGATTTTTATTATGAAATTTTGAAAAATATTTTTGTTGAAAGTGAAAGGATGGAATGGTATAAACCTCGAAGCTTGGGGAATCTAGCTGTAGATTTGGACACTTTTTCAATATGGTCTGGACAGTATGATAATAGGTAAGTTAATTTCTACAATAATAATTATTTTTATTTTACGTTTGTGTTAACCTTTTTTTTCCCTGGATATATGCATTTTTAGTAACTGAATCATATTTAATAAGTTATCATCATATCGACATAAAGGGACTGCAAGCGTATAATTTCAAGGTTCCCCCCATTTAAAGATGGGAGTACACGATTTACAACGGTACCCTTTAAAGCTTTGTCAGCTGAACTCAAGAATGCAAAAAAATATTAATGTTTTTTATAAATCCATGTTTGATTCCCACGGGTACCCTTGGAATATTTATCGGATCAAAACTATGAAAGATACCGCCCCTTTCCTCACTCGAAAAGTTTTCTGATTTCTGATATTTTCGCCATCGCTTCTTATAAGCAAGAAATGTGCAAGTTTCTTTTACAGGGAAACCGCAAATGAAAATAAACACTTGAAAGAAACAAAAACTTGGATTTCTAATTCATATTTCATCAGGCAAAGCTTTTGAGGGTGCCGTTGTAAATCGACCCTTACCATCTTTGCATACAAGGTTACTTGAAATTACACTTTCATTTTTTTTAAACTTCCGTAATAAGAATTTCTATTAAAATTATTATTTTAGACCTGATTTCGATGGATTTGACAGAAAATATAGGGCCGCAAGTATGGGCAATCTGAACATAGGTCAGTTCAAAGGACAGGACAGGACAGGACAGGTGACAGGACAGGACATGACAGGACAGGACATGAAAAAAACAGGACAGAAAAGGACAGAAAAGGACAGAACATGAAAAAACAGGACAGAAAAGGACAGGACAGAACAGGAAAGGACAGGATAGACCAGGAAAGGACAGGACACATCTGGCCATGAAAAAATAAATGATCGTTTTAAAAAACAATTATTATTTTTTTCAGGGTATTCTGGCGATTGGAGGGAGAGTCGTGGAGGAGGAGAAGTTGGAAGTAAACAATCTTTAGGACAGATTAGTGGGGTCAGTGATAACCCGGAGAAATACAGAGATATTGCACTGTAACTCTACCATACAGCTGACTACAGACTACAGAGACGTTTATGTACAATAACTAGACCTGGTTATCACAGAAATTCCTGTACAGTTGTACAGCTGGATGAAAGTTAAGAAATAGACGCTTTTAAAAAAAAGTGAGTTGTGTACAAATATCACAAAGATCAAATTGAGAATGCTAACAGAGACCTCTATTATTAACAGTTTAAAAGAGACACCAAGGGAAGGCTTTCCAGTTTCTAGTGATGAAAGCTTATGAACAGTATACACTGTATATGTATACTAAGAATTTTCAGGGGGGGGGGGGGTTTGAGGTTAACCGTGTACAGAGCCCCCCCCCCTCTAAAAAGAAAAAAATTAACCCCCATCTTTGGAAATAATCATGATTACGCCCCTGAGTGTTGGTAGCTCTTAACAAAGCTAACTCTCTACTAAAGAACAAAAATAGGATTTAGAAGTTTATAGTTTTAAAGTTATTAAATTTTAATTAATATGACATGTTTTAATGGTCTTTTATTGATTTAAAAGACTCCACTAATTTCCACATTAATGTTAAGTCAAGTAAGACCTGACTTGAAGTCACTATCTCAAAAATTGTTAAATATTCGTCATTACACATTAAAACCAAGATTTTAAAAAGCTACTACTGTATGGCGGAGACTCGTTTACTGCATAGCGGATGCTCTGTACTGTATAGCGGAGGCTCGTGCTTCATGGCAAATCTGGGTGTATCGGTCTGTATGTCAGGGGCTCATGATGGCCGGGCTTTCCCTACCTCCTCGAAGAGTTTTGTCCAATGGATTTACCGATTCTTTTAATTAGACTCAATTCTAAGGGAAATTATACCAAGGCTTGAACCTTTTTTTTTGAGGTCGGGTGGCTTATAGTTTTCCATCGACTTTTCCACCGAATTATTTAAATCGCGCGCGGTTTAACCATATGTACAGGGTGTCTCAATTAAGAAAGGATTTGGGTAACGATTTTGATATCGTCTTTGCAAATGACTTTTTTATTTAGTTTGGCGATGCTTAGTAAAATGAGAAATGGCCGTATACAGACACAGTAAAGTTGTTCCTCTTCACTGTTTATCTTGCAGAAATATTACACAAAAAAAGATTTTCATGGTTTACATAAAATAGACTCTATAAGCAACTTTATTTTGATCATTGCAGTTAGTTCACACAAGGCTAATTCTTAACAAGGATGATTTTGAATTCGTCTCTTAATTCCTATGTTTATTGGGACACACTGTAGTATATTCTTCTGATTTGATACTACAGGTGTTAAACATGCAATTAATGATACTTCTAGTTATGCCTGCTTGCTTGCTTTAATAGCCCTGTTATAATTAGAATAATTAGATGCGGGAGTCCCCCTCCATTCTCCTTCTCTCCTCACTTAACATATATTACAGGGTTACCCACAAAGGATGAGACTTCAGAGACGATATATTTATTCCAGATTCCCTGCAACTGTAATTTGCCAAATTTAGCCCAAGGATTGTCATTGTACTTGTGGATAACCCTGTACATACAGTGATTACCAGAAAACAATAGCATGAGAAAACGAAATTATAGTGTATTTAATGTTGTTACAATGCAAATAGTCTTACTAGACACCTTATCAAATCACTTATTTATTGAAATGTAAAATTCATTGATTCAAAGCCGTCTTTCTATTACAGAGTTAAAGCTATATAATATATATAGATGTTTTCTTCATCGTTATATGCGAAACAAAAACAATAAAATTAACATGTCATGTCATACATAATACATCATACATAATACATCATACATAATACATCATACATCATACATAATACATCATACATAATACATAATACATCATACATAATACATCATACATCATACATTCATGTATTTTTC